CGCCCGTTGATATAATCGATAAGAATTTGCAAGGTTGACAGTTCATTGTAATTGAGCAAAAGAGAAATCTCTCTATATTTGTTGGGTTGGATACACCGCTAGAAACTAGATAAATTAATTAAAAATTATAGATACGCGTATTCTTTCCGCGATTGACAGAGTTGAGCTCCGTGCGTAAAATTTTGTAAATTCTGATGTTACTCAAGCAAGAGAAGAAGCGGAGCTCCGAGTCTTCGACTCATCTGAAATTGCTGGTGACGTATGTCATAGCGAGTGGTTTGTAATGTTCAGCTAATTGCTTGACTATTAAACTATTGAGACGATTACATGAATTCTATCCATGTATGTTGGATAAGAATGCATGCTCGCATCTTTTTCTGCTGTGCGGTGCTGACTTTCCTTGCTTATTTAAGTCTTCTAATAGCATTTGACATCCATAACTCGTAATAATGCAACTTTATAAACAAAAGATTGGTCGCACTTACTTCGAAATGTCAGAATCACCTGGCAAAGAATGATATAGTGTCGCGTGTCATGTTAATATCAAACGAGTGCCGAAGTGGAAACCAGATAACAATCGTTAAAGTTGCTGCTACATCGTGAAGAATATTAGGCCAAAATCAATGGATTACCAAGTTCTGGTAGAATTGGAAACATAATACGTAGTATCTAATTTATTGCATGGAATACGCACATTGCGCGATACGTATGTCAATAGTATTACTCGGTTTTTACTTTATAAACTAAAATGTTATTTTTTTCTGCACTGTAAAATGTATATCAAAAGTCGGTGCACTCTGTACACTAAAATTGTCGTTACAAGTATACATGTGTAAGTCTAAAACCTAAAAACTTAATTTTTATAACAATCGACTAAGTTGTGACAGATTTATAGACGTTACACTCCTGAAGAATGGGACGAATTTTGCTGGATGTCACAAGTACGTATCGGAGAAACTCCTGGTAAGTGAAAAGAACGGATCTGGCAACGCTTAATGTATTTCAGAAATAATATTATTATGGATGTTGATGGTAAAAGGTTCTTGAAACCAGGACGTTGATACGATTTCAGACGGTGGTTCATACGCTAGAAATAGCTATCTGTTTTTCTCGCGACGAGTTAGTATATACACGTATGTCAAAGCATATATGGAGAAACATTGAAAATCTTCATGTATTGGTAATAAATATTGCAAACTAAAATATGAAGACTTTTTGAAAATTACAAAACCTAAATTTGATCGTACATTCACGCATTTATTGATTATCCGTTATATATTAAATCGCTAATCCGTACAATGGAAAGGTTAACCGGCTTTGTTACGCTATTTTTAGAGATGCAATTTAATTAGCGCGGTAACCTAATCCTTGTATCACTATCGGGGGGCGGGAGGAATATTAATACCACATCGGCATCTTGGGACTCACGAATAGTTTCGCAACAAATGGAACTGAGGGAAAAGCACATCGTCCAGCTGATGCTAGAACGCTTAAATATTGCTACGTTTTATTCACGAACGATTAACATAAAGCTCATTGCCAATTTTACACATTGTCTCAATATTTATTTTTATTTTACACACGCAAATAATCTACCCAGCAAAGCAGCTAACAGTAAACGTGCGCGATTTAATTTTAACCATATTGAAATATGTGAAAGCACGTTGAAGCACAAGTTTATTCGAAAAGAGGTTGAGTCACTAAATTATAATCAGCGGATAATGTTAATATAAATATGGTAAATTGACTTTATTTGTACCAATGCGTAACATACCTGCAGCTGAATCCAAATCATAGCTATTTCTCGGTTTAGGCAAAGCTACAGTATGTAAGAGTTTACTAGAGTATTTACTCTCTTTCTCGAGATGCGATAACGGTTTTACATCATTATGATAGATAGTATTCCACACGTCGTCGCCAGATTTATCCTTTTTTACATCTCTAATAATTTTGCAAATATCACCGCAAAGTTCCCCTGCACCGGGACGCTTATCAGGATCTGCATCACAACACCGCTCGGCAAGTTTCTTGTATTCCTCTGGCGCAGAATGGTCGCATTCCCTCACGAACACGTATCGCCAAACATTTGTCAAACGACCAATCTCTAAATGGTGGTTCACCAGTAGCAATCAAATACAAAATGAATACACATCCGACTTCTGAGTAAATTTGCAGGTATGGAAGACTTCCGGTGCAATAAACGGCAAAACGCTTCGAATGGTTGAATTTGACTCGCGTGAACTCACCGATTGTGAAAGATCAAGATCGCATATGTATGCGCTTATCTTATTATTATGTGTATTGGCATCCATAACAATGTTTCCACCATGTAAATCACAGTGCACTAATCCCGTATGATGAATATAAGACAGATAATATGCAATTTCGTTCAAATGCCGTAATTTATTCAACCACGTCTATTTTGAACCAAATAAGACAAAAGATTGCCATTGTCGGCATATTGCACAAGTCTTCGAGTGATGTCACTAGCCAATTCGGTTCCTTGAATGTCACAATGTCGGTTCGTTCGATCCTAAAATAAGAATTACAAAGGAATGAGTGACGAATCTTCGCGTCAAGGACCATAGAAGAACGTTCACAACAGACGTAAAATACGCAAGTTGCGGCCCGATACGCTTTTAATTCTATGGTTTATGTACCCTATTCACCACACAGTCCGAGCCCATTACTCAGCTACATTACCTTTCGGAACGGATATCGAACGTTCACATGCAGTAAAATCGTACCAACTCAGGTCGACAGCGCAGCTATGTTACCCAGCGACGATTGCCGGAACCACGATTGCCAAACGTATCCTATTCACCACAGGAAGCCAAATTTGGCTTGACTTTTTTTCGGTAACAGGGGTTTTGTTGAATAACCGCGATTTACTCCTAGTGGCAGCGTCCCTTCGGATACGTATCCCGAAAGGTAAACGATCCACAACATGTGGCCCGATGCGCTTTCAAGATATCCGATTTTTACACCTAGTGACAGCGTAACTTCGAGCACAGACACTCAAGAATTCACCCAGTAAGAATCCTTACCTCGTCTTTAAACGTTTTTCTCTCGCATCTTTCAAACAAAAATACGCGTCATCAGTGTGGGCCTTTACGTTGGTCAGTTTCTCTGGGTTTTTAGCGTCAGTTTGAGTAAACGGTCTTGGTTGTCTTTTCAACGTGTCATGACGGACGACTAAATGAACAGGAAAAAAAATAATAACGCGTCTTGCACAGTAAAGGGGTTTAAGATTGAGTTATCGAAAAAAATTTTTTTGTTATGCCTTTTTATGTAATACGAGTACACGTCATGCGATCACCTGTTTCAACCAGATGATTACGGTAAAAAAAGAAACAACAGGCCAATCGGTCCGCAACATTAGCAGAAGAGCTAATATTACGTGCCTGGCGCAATTGCATTAGGCATAATATAAGTATTAAGGTTTTCAGTTAAACACTGTCAAATACAAAATATTATTAGACATAGCGTTACATTAGAAATATGTAACTAAAAATAAAGCAGTAATTATTGTTTAGAGAAGAGAGAAGACTATAAAATCATTATGAACATAAATAATACATATAAGTATTTTCCCTTTTTTTTTGAATAATTGCAACACATAAAATTGCGATAAGTCGTGATTATAACGAATGACTCTCGATAAGCCAGACCACGTAATTTTACGGTAATTACCCGATATATTATTTGTAATACATTATACTATTGTCTTAATTGTCAATAAAAAGGTTAGGCATAGTCAATTGGAAGCAAAAAGGGAAGAAAATTAACCTCACTAAATAATATTCAAAAAAAAAGAACTATGCAATATAAGAGAAATAATCCAACCAAGTCGTATGGTAGGAAATTCGGCACTGGCAAATTAACTGTAGGAAATATTATTTACAACATAGTTCTGATGTAAAAACAAATGCATCGGTAATCTCGGGAAGGAAAGACCTGTAGTGTTAAATTCAAAGAAAGCACATTTTAAAACAGGTTGTATTGGCTCATAACATGCAAATAAAAAGTACGTTTATGATTTATTATTATGGTAAAGTCGGATATCTCGTTAAGTCGATAAGTCGGACACAGGAGTCCGTCCCGACTTGTCGATGTAGATACGCTCATATAATGTAAAATTGATCGAATCTTATAAATAAACGGACACTTCGATGTATGCGTTAATGGAAAGAATGGTTTTCCGAAGACAAAGTCGCTCATAAACGTTAAGAGTTCTGATCACAGATAGAGATGGCAAATATTGCTACTGCTTTGTGATGTTACATAATGCTGACATGCTGTTGCTATAGATGCGCGTCGTCATATTACATCAATTTATGGAAATTCAGAAGGTACTGGTACTTATTATTGCTGATAGTATCGCTATACGATTTTGGTCATTGACACGAGCAAGGAATTACGTATTTCCTATCATCTTCTGATATTAATATGATTCTGCTCCAGTGACTGATACTATATAGCACACCAATACTCATCACAAATAATATAGTAATAGACGTCTGGTTGCTGAATAAACGCGTTGTTTGCGATTGTAAACTTTTTCATTTGATCGCGCGTTATTAAAAAAACGTATGCTATAACATTCGCAACATTCACAATATGGTGCAGAACAACTGTAAATGTTACATTTAATTAGCATTACGAGCGTGTGAAACTGTTTAATATTAATAGACGATTATACGTTTATCAAGCAGCTTGCGTCGTAAAGTCTTAGTTTACGTAAGGAAAAGCCAATTAACTGTCGAATTATGGCAAGTTCCATTCATAGATCGCCAATTGGTGACCTCATCAAAGTATGTTTCTTATTACAGTATTAATTTTACTCGCCAAAAACACAGGGTTTGATTGTCCATATACGAACGCAAGGCAAGTAAAAGGTTTAATTCAGTACTACACTAGTAGTAGTAGTACAAGTCTTGTGACTTGACCGCTCGTTTAAGTATTCGAACCTGAACTTCCCAAAAGTGAGTAATAACAACATGCCTCAAGTTGTCACCCGAAGAAATCGCGACGACCCTCTTTCGAACATTTCGTCTTCACGATCAGAACACGAAGTGAAGAGGAAGGAACGATCGCTGACTTCGCGAATAAGAACAACTGTGATATGGACTGGTATGACGTTGGGTGTCATTTGGTGGTTTGAAGTTGTTCGCGGAATCCATGAAATCTTATCATGGGATTCACCGTTAGTGTGAGTCAATCATCCTACTCCTTTTTGGCGTAAGCGTCTTACTGAATAGTCGTCAGCCTGACAACGTAATAGCAAATAATACACCCAACTAATAACTAACGTTTTCTTCGCCTATATTCATTGTGTCAAGTTCCCTCTTCTTAACATCCGTAGTGTGTCTCCTCATATCAACTGCGATCATGTTTTATGTCCAATTCTACCTTCCTTTAGTATCTCGCACAGCGCCCCCAAACTATCGTGATTGGAAGGAGGATGTAACCCTAAGAAAATATATTCCTGTGGCTACATTGTTTGGAACATTCGGTGTTATTGGGTTAATAATAGCTTCATGGCCCGTGTGGGGATTTTGGTGTGTAGTGGTTGTGATAGTACTCCTACGAGGTGGAACGGAAGGATGGGATGTGATTTGGATTGTTTGGGAATGGGGCGTATTGAAGAGGGTGACAAGGGAAAAGGTCAGGAACGAGGACAATAACGAAAGGGAGAAGCACGACTGATTGCGCAAACATAATTTTCCCACTACACCGACATATAATATCACTTCCATTGACTCATATTTTTGATTCATGAAGCGACTGGCGAATATAATTGTAATTAATAAGCACCAATCCGCACGATAGATAGTGAATATAGAAAGTCTCCTTTCAATCTGATTACTTTTGCTTCTGTAAAATGTATCTTTTACTAATGATGCTATGATATTGAGCTTGTTGCATGTAGTTGTTGAACCTTATGAAATAATCAGTGTCGAGATATTAATTCTGCTGTCCATTGCCTATGATTAAAAAAGACATTTATAAATAATGATATTAAATGAACTCGAGGATGGCAAATGACAAGCTAAAATCAAAATTTGAATTTAAACGTATTCATAACGCCACCCGAAAGGATACATGTCTACGTCATATTTTACTCTTTAGACTTTGGGGTCTGCATTTGTCATAATTAAACGATAATACCTTTGTCGGTTAATCAGTATCTCAAAACTTTAAACTAAAGAGCGGAAGACTGGAATGCAACAGTAATTCTAAACGTGAATTTGTTGTTTTAATTACGGAAAGCAAACGCAGAGAAGTACCAGAGTAATTGCAGGAGAGAATACACGCCTCCAAAGTTGTTAATGGTAATAATTGTCTCGTCCATAAAAGATTATCAGAAACACTACCAGAATAGCCGGAGAATGATTCTCGCCCGAGTAAAAGATATCAAGAGTAGGTAAATTCTACATAAAGATTGAGTATCTCGAGACCTGAACTGTTACGCTGACTGGGTTTCGCAGCAGTTGCTTTTTATATTCTTTGGAATAGTCGCCGAGACGTCCGCGTTTGGATTTGGAACGCAGAATCACTGAATGGAAGGATGAGTCTATGTTACCTTCTACTGATTAATAATTATATGGAATAGTAACTAATAGTAAATCGAGGGTAAAAACCACTGCATACCTCGTTAGAACTTTCGACAGACAATAATATTCAAGCTGGAAAGTGTGTTTGAATACTTTTTTTAGTAGGACACATCAATGAGCAATAAAGGAGGAAATTATGATAGCAGTTCAATTACCAAAGTAGTGTCTACATCACATTCATTGCACCTGGTTAAAGTTATTTAATAATAATTCACTGCTCACTATATTAAAAAAGTCTTTACGGCAACTTCGCCGAATACCTTGTTGATTATTTTCGTTGCTACAAGTTTCGCTCGTGCGTTTGCTACTTACTTTCAAACAGTTCGTATTACGGCTACATGTAAACGTTATTACTGCGAGCATGCAAGTCTAATATGCAAGGCGTCGTTTCATGCGTCAAACCGTTCGCAAAAAGACGCACGGATAGTCGAGGAGCATTCTCTTAGTATTAGTTATTTAACTATACTAAGAAATGTGCAGATGTGGAAGAATATCACACTACTTATGGTGATGCATTTGTTGATTTCCGTTAGGCTTTCACTCGTTGCACTAATGACCGCATTCGGTAATCTAGCGATGTAGTAGAACAGAATTTAGAGATAGGCCAAAAATATAACGATACATACATTAGTCAGAGACATTTGTGTAAGAGAGCTAACTGCGTATAAATTACGCTATGTCAGATACAGACGTTCCAAATGAAAAAAAAGAACACATGATTCCAATGGAAAGCGAAGATCCAGGAGAAATAAGATGCATTTGCGATTATACAGACGACGACGGTTATACTATTCAGTGTGAACAATGTGCAGTTTGGCAGCATATAACGTGCGTAATAAAGGATCAAATCCCCGAGAAGTACCTCTGCGACAGGTGCCATCCACGTACAATGCATGTGGAGCGAGCTAATGAGCGCCAGCGATCCTTACGAGAAGCTGGTGAGCTTACTAAGCAGGCTGAGCCAGAAACACAGCACAATGACCAGCAAGATTCTGACGTAAAGCCAAGTCGGAGGTCTACCCGTAAAATATCAAATACAAGAGCGCGCAGACCGACAGCATCGGGAAAAGAGAGTTCAGCGAGCCCACCACAGCCTGAGCAGAATCAAAAACGAAGACTAAAAAATGGTAGGAATTACGTAAGAGAGAGCAACGACGAAGACGATCAAGACACATTTGATAACGACGAAGATGAGGCAACTCATGATTTTCCATATACACAAATTACTGAAAATAATATTGTCCGTAAAGAGGTTGAGGAACTTTTCCGAACGGTTTTATCACAGTACCAACGGCAAGCACAAGACAGAAAGAGGTCTCTATCACAATCTTCCGCTACCAAATTGTCTACGATAGATATTCTTGGAGACATTGGAAAAAAATCTCAAACACGACAATCAGGTAATACCACAAAAGATATAATAACGACACGTTCATCAACGCCAAAGGCGGATCTTGCTAGGCAACTGGTTCGGGTAGAGCGAGAATCTCTAGCACACCCAGTTATAGAACCCGTTGTCAAAAAGATAAGAGTAACGGACACTAATAGGAAACAGAATTGTATAACCTATGGCCTATTTGCTGAGACAAATATATCACCTAAACAATTCATATTTGAGTTCAAGGGAGAAGTTAGCTTAAAATCAGCTTACCAGGCTGATCCAAGTAATAATTATTTCTTGCTTGGTGTGGCCCAACCTTTTGTTCTTTTTCACCCGCTAATAGATCTCTGTGTTGACGCACGGTCATCCGGAAACAAAACACGTTTTATTCGGCGATCGTGTCATCCAAATGCAGAGACTCGAAGTATAATGGTACCTGGTGAAGAAGAACAAAGAATTCATTTGGGTGTCTTTGCAAAAGGTGAAGCAATACAGAAAGGAAAGGAGATAACTGTTGGATGGGATTGGGAACCTAATCATGTCGCTTTCAGTCTCATCGAAGGGAAGGATGATGTTTTCGATGACGACTTGGATATCGCTAGTAGAAGAAAAAAAATGTTAGATGTTGCTTCGGCTATTCTAAATATTACCGATTGTGCATGTGAAACAATGGATAGTTGTATAATTTATAAAATGATACGCGAAGGTAAGCTCAAAACGGCAAGCACTTCAGCAAGTACGTCTGCAAGGAGATTGCACGGATCTGAATCAGAGAGCTCAAATTCTAAGACTGTTTCTATCAGTGGGTTATCCGAAAGTGATAGCGCGGCAATTACAAATGATTCCGCGCCTTATTTTGCACAAGTTGCAGATAGTAAAGAGGATCCTATGAGTTCTCCAATAACTTGTGGGTTACCTTTAAAACAATATTTAGTTGAATTGCATCTCCGCGAAGCCAAGGCGGATAGCGACGCAAATAGGAATAATAGGAAGGGCGTATCAAAGAGAAAGTCATCGCAATTAACGACAGCTGCGTCTACGATCACAACAGTCGAATCACCTATAATCCCACCTATCAAGACAATTAACGAGGAATATAGTTCCTCAGAAATAAACGAGTCTAAAGATACTAAGCGACTTCAAGAGAAGGAAGTTGTTACAAGCGAGAAAGGCTTAGAAGCCAAGAAGCCCCGGATAAGAAGTGATGACAAAAGGAATGTCGACGATCGAGATTTGCTCTCGCCCGAACCATTGACGTCAATAGTGCCGGCCAAACGTGGTGCCAACAAAGAAAAACCCGGTAATTTCAACAAACAGCAGGGGTCTAACTTACAAACGAAACGCCAAAAGCTGGATAACGACTTGGAGAAATCTTTGAAACCAACAAGGATTACCTTGACAACTGAAGTCGATGATGAAAAGGAGGAACAGACTACTCATAGCTCATTAAGTAACGAAACTCAGAGTTTAACGCCCGTCAGAGCAACGTCTGTTCCCCTCAAACATGTTTCTTCAACGCCTCAGGAAACGCTGCTTGTTGCTCAGCCGAATCAAATGACTCGTCCTATTTCGAAGAATTACTATCAACAGCAGGCCAAGTTAGGTTCAAAGGACGACCAGTCCGTTACGGAGAGCCATTTTACAAAATCGTCAGTACCTTCGCCAGTTATACAAAGTCCAGCATCATCAGACACATTACAGACGGTTGTAAAGCTTGAGAACGAACCTAAGAATTTGAACAATGAAGTTACTTCAGAACGTGAGCGCCGGAATAATGAGCGGTCAGATCCGCTAAGGATGAGCTCCACTGATAAAGAACCTGAGCGACCATCAGTGACAAGGAAATTAAGTTTGCTAGAATATAAGAATATGCAACAGGCTGAACTGAATAAAGCTTCTGGAGAGCGTGTTGCTGAAAGAATGCTTGCATCAAGCTCCCCATCAGTAGCTCAGTTGAAATCGGATGCTGATATCAACGCCAATACGAACTCTAAGCAAGTTGCACGTAATAATCCGCCAACTATGGCGGTGAAAGCCAAACTTTCGATGAAAGAATATCGTGCAAAGAAACTATTGGAAGCCGCAAATGTGTCGAGCGAGGCGAATGCTGAAGCTCCAAAAATAGGGGAACCTTCTTGTTTATCATCCAATGAAAAATTTGACACAATAGGATCTAAAGGAGAAGAGGCACTTGAAACAAGCAACACACAGAATCCAGAAACTTCCGTTGTATCTAAAGTCTCGGCATCGTTATCCAAATCTTCAAAGCAACCGGATGTGAGCTTAGATGCAAGCTCTGCAGCACAGGATGATTACTTTCCTGAAGACTTACCTATTGAGGTTTATAGGCCGGGCGATGGAGTAAGATTTGGGGATTCAACAGTGAGTATGATCGATAGTGTTTTCGATACCCTTAATCGTCGCAAACCTAACTAGTACGATTCTGATGTATACCGTAATCTCCAAGGATATGTCCCAGTCGTCGTCGTCATATGATGATGTACGCGGTAGACGCTCACCAGTATATAAAGACTATACGTCACCTTTATCAAATGATGGAAGTTTACAAAGCACGCGAACTTATACATCATCACAAAGAGGATCCAGGTATGGGCAATTCCGAGGACGACCTTTCCGAGGACTGCCGGGAACGTCTGAACGTGGCAGATACCATGGGCCACATTATTTTAATTCATCCAGTGTGTCATCAATGAGTTCGTTACAAAGCACGTCTCGGACTGGTCAAACATCTGCATCACCACCATCTTCGTCAGCAGCACCTTACGATCCAGAGAACCCAGATGGACAGACTTTAGGTGGAATGATTGAGCGGGAACAAACAGTTTCTACAGACAATGTTAATAACAATAATAATAGTGATGTTGGTAATAATAACATTGGCAACAATGTTAGTGCTGGAATGGTAGGTGATGCTCGTGTTAGAGACTATCCACGCCAAGGAGTCAATAATGAGAGGCCCGAACGTGAACGCTGGTACAATGATCGACCAAGTTGGCGTGATCGAGATAGGGAGCGTGATGATATCAGAAAAGACTGGAGTAAACGACAGGATTATCATTACAGAGACAGAGATTATGGTAGCGGGGCGGATGTGTCACGATATTCGATGGGTCCAAGACGGCCATCTGGTCCAGTGCCATATCAAGACCGATACGCAATGAGTAGCAGTAGTGGAACGCGCGCCCCTGCTTATACGACGCGCCGTAATATTGGCGAGGATGCCTCGAGTATGACAATATCAAGTCGTAATGATATGATGGATCTTAGTGGAAACTCATCTATACTGCCGACGGGACCCGCTACCAGTTCGTCATCGTCACCGTCGGGGTCCATCAAGCCTGGTGAATTGTCGCCGTCTTCGAGTAATTCCATCCAACGATACACGGACGTGAGTATAGGATCTCGCGCGTCTCGTTAAATGTAAGGTGTGGTTTTATTGGCATTTTAATTTTGCCGCTTTTTTTATGTCTCAGGATATTCGACGGCGCAGATGATAAAATTGACATCTAGCCGAGGCAATGATGGTAACTGCTTTACAAGTCTACTCTGTAATCTACACTCGGGCGACTTTGGAATATTCTCCTATTGATAATCAAATTTTAATGCCTTTTTCTTCTTTGCGTTTGAACCGCTGTAAATATTCATACATCGTTCTTTATCCTTCTCTCATTGCAATGCAGTTCCTGTTTTGTTTTGTTTTTTCTTTTTCGGTCTGGATCAATGTGAAGATTTTGCGCCATTGCGCAATATAAGTAATCAAAATCCTTGTATTTTATAGCTGCCAGCTTTTTTATTTAAATCATTTTGCAAATAAAATGTACATAATACTCATTTACTTGCAACGGATATGAGAATTCTCAAAGCTTAATTTTGTACGTGCATCGATATACGCGATCAAAATTTTTGCGTGCTATCATCGCACAAAAGATCATCACACCTAGTACAAACCTACCTAAACCAAAAACTCGGGAAACCAAATCTCTGACGACTTTCCTTCATGGATGGTTTTATTCCTGGGCAAATATTCACAACGTCGGCTAGTTTGGTTGATAGCGTTGATAGTGAGTAATCAAAATGTATTACCCGGTGTCAAGACTAGATCTAATTGAGTTTCGCTTATTGCGTGATTATTGATAAGAAAAGTTATTAGTTGTTCTTCGAGATGGCAGAAAACTTATAGGAGTATTGAGGTCTTTTGATCAATTTGGTATGTTGGCTAGGAACGAATTCGAGAATGTAAAATGACCTGAATAACTTTATGAGAGTTTTAATATCCTGAGCTTGATATAGCAAATTTGGTATTGCAGGATACAGTCGAGCGGATATACGTGGGTGATGCGTATGGAGATATTCCCAGAGGAATCTTCATAATACGTGGCGAGAATGTTGTTTTGCTTGGTGAAATCGTACGGGAGACATTGCTGTGAATAAGCGTCTATTCTGTTACTGTACGTTGGACTGTTATACCAATTGCATTTCTGTTACGTACCCATTTGTCTTTGAAAGGATCTCGATAAAGAAGATATCCTACCGTTGCGAGAAAAGCCCATAGACGAAATACTGGCCGAACAGAGAGAAGAAATTGAAGACCGACAGAAACGAGACAAGCTAAAAAATAAAATGTTACATGATCGAGGGTTCAGTGTTGATTTTACCGAAACTGATTTGTATTAAGCACGACGAACAAGAGCACGTAAGTGAAAGTTTGTCGGGTTCGCTCCTGGGTTTTGCATTTCGGTTTGACCAACTAGTCTACGTTCTCGTTTTTAGAACGATTATTACGTTAAAAACTTTTGGGACGTGATAATAATCGAGAAGCTGAAAGAAACCATGTATCAACGATTTCAAGCGCGTCCCCATTAAAATGGATTGCAGCGATCATTACTGTTTTACCCATTCTTTTAATTGACAATAGCTATAACGCCGGGGTTTTCTTCAGGTGATTATCGCAAATTATGGTATAATCAAACGAATAATGAGGCTTCTACAACTAAATAATGACACCCCCTCTACATTTAATATATTGATACGTGAAGTATACTAAAATTATTGTAATAAATCAATACGTCGGCCACAGTAGTGGAAGATATTCCTTGACAATGGGAATTTGAATGTGTAAGTAGAATCCAATCGCAACTTTAGAGGAAGCAGCACGGATATTTTGAAAAAAACAACACATATCACGCAGATTACAAAGTGTCACATTTATTGTTCTTCCCTCGCTGTACAAAAGCACGTAAGAGACTTTTTCCAAGATTCCTATTATCTTATCATGGCCATACCGATCGGCTATTCTGATTATTTCTTCACCACGCCCTCGAGATCTCCCAGTGTCTACGTCTAAACGAACAATTAGAATAAAGGTGCAACATCAAAACGACTCACATGTACGGGCGGCAAATCTTGGAAAAAGCGACATTTTTATGGGAGTATAAAGCAATAGACATCCATCATCACGTTATCTCTACGTCCATTGGTAGAAGATGTGGGTGCGCGCTCTTATTTCGAAACTGAATTTGCAGTTTAGCGCGCTTTTTTGTATATAACAGAATTACGATATACGCGTCGTTTATATGAATTATAAAATGACATTGATTGCAATAAATAATAGAAAAAGGCAATTTCCCGTTGGCTTGGCTATTTATAACATTCATTGTGGATAATACAGTTATCAATGGCATTCAATATCAAAATACACAAAATGTCAAGAAGGCATAACTTCAAAGTTAGGGGTGAAACACCAGCAATGACATAATTTGCCAGTATATAGCTTGCGTTTTTCGATGTTGCGATTTATAAAACCGCAACTCGGGGATTTTGACTATTGATCGCGAGGATTTCCGTTACTTCGAACCCGAGAGGAAAGTTTGCCGTCAATTACTAATGAATGTATGCAAGTCATACTCAGTACGACGACTGTTATAATTCGATGTAACGTCTACCGGTTGAGTCGTGGGAATTTCTAAGACATGTGCTTGATTAACATAAATTATATGTCGCGGGAACGTTTACTATAAATACAGACATTATTACTAAATTATGCTCTCTACTTTCTGAAACGTCAATCTAAAAATGTAATTCGAATTACAAACTGCTTAAATTTGGTAAGAAACTCATAATTCCGTCTTTGTCTTGGAAAAATCTGGGAGTGGTTTTTATTAAAAGAACAGTGACAAGAATAATGACGAACTGTTATTGGATGTATTGTTATTAACATTTTGACTCGTTCTCATATAAACAGAAGAGATGCGGGCAATCCATTCCTCTTATTACTGAAATTATAACTCTTCCCAAATTTAAATTAGTAGTGAAGGGGAATCAAGCGTACTTTGATTTTTGAGAGGAATCGGGATGCCCAATAGTTCTCTCTTTTATAATCTTCACTTAATCGCTCGTACCTTTTATTTTACTTCCATTACAAGCGTTGTGCAATCCTATTGCCTCGAGACTATCTTGTATTTCCCTGATACCCTTTGCTTTATCATTTCTTACACGTTCCAAATTTTCAAGATATTCAGGAGTGACAGAATCAGTTATATATCGTCCGTCAAACACTGAACAGTCGAAGGTTTTGATATCCGCATTATGTTCTCTACAGGAAGCGATTAGATCTTCAAGTTTCTGTAAATATAATAAAAAGGTTAGAGAACATTATGAATTGTTGGCGTTAACACGAAGATAATTTGTTAAAATCGACTCGCCTGGAATATTACTTCATCTGCGCCAATCTCCTGTGCAATTTCCTCGTCGCTCTTTCCATGTGCAACAAGTTCTCGGCGTGATGGCATATCAATACCGTATACATTGGGGTATCTACATTTAACCAATGTATCAATATATTATCACTCGCATAATTACCCCAGAATTATCTATACCTAATAGCGGGTGAGCATGAGGCAAAATACACCTTCTTGGCACCTGCATCTCTTGCCATTTGAACAATCTCCTTCGAAGTGGTTCCTCTAACGATTGAATCTATTAGGAATTATATATTCAATAAGTGTATGCAGGTCGGTAGCGGGAGAGATCAATAGTGATAACAAGTTTCACACCATCAACAAGTAGGACATTCTTGTTTGCAAATTCCAAAGCCATGGCATTCAATTTCCTCCGCACGCTCTTTTTTCTCATCTGCTGTCCAGGCATTATGAACGTGCGCCCAACATAACGATTTTTGACGAACCCTTCACGATAAACAATTTGCAATTCATGAGCGAGCTGAAGCGCGGCTACACGGCTTGTATCCGGCACCTGATCATCAACATTGTTAGAATTCTTTGATCTAAAGATATACCATTACTAATGCCACTGTACTCAAGTATATGTATAATACGCACTGGAATAACTACTTCAATGTCCATAGTACCATTGAATTTTCTTTGGACTTGTTTGGCCAAATATTCCCCCATCGACAGACGTGATCGATACACAGAGATGCCGTCGATTACAGAATCAGGACGTGCAAAGTATACAAACTCGAATATACAAGGCGCGTATTCTCTTATAGGCGTTACTTGTTCTCGACTAACCGCTTGCTTAGTGATAATCACGGCTTCGCCTATATATTAGTAAGATATAATGTATAAGATACTATGTCTATAACAGTCAGATAGCATATATACAGTATTAGTTTACCAGGTTTGATGTCTTCTATATCGGCAAATCCGTTGGCAGACAAAGCAACACTCTCAGAGGCGATCATGTAATCCCATCCTTTAGGGCCTTTTCTCCTTCCAAAGCAGATAGGTCGGATGCCTTAGGGGTCACGCAGCCCAATGATACCGAAACCTTCGTGCAATTCAAAGTCAAATTGACACGAAATGGAAAGCGGACGAATCGAAGGTTAAAAGATGGGGCGGAACAGATTCGTACCAGCTATCATGACAACGCACGCATATCCCCCAATGCACTGTTCGTGAAGGCCTGTTATTGCTGTGAATATGTCTTGTTCGTTGATTCTGTTAAGTGTAACAAATTAAGGTTATGTTAGAATTGGAATAAAGTGTTTGCAATAACTATATCATATGTTGCAAGCATTACTATTCTTATGTGACCGATTATTGCCCCCGTCGGATGACTTGCAGTTACCTGACTTTGCCGGTCTGCTGGAGATTGTTGGCAAATATGTTTAGTAATATCTCGGAATCCGAATCAGTGTTGATGTGTCGATGCGCTTCCTGATCCAAAAAGACTTTTAACGCCTCCGCGTTCACAAGATTGCCATTCTAATAATGTGAACATAATTTTGATTAAATATCAAATCACATAAAGATATCCGTCAATAGAGCAAAATATACTTACGTGAGCAAGAGCTATTCCGTATGGACTATTGACGTAGAACGGTTGCGCTTCAGAGTGAGATGATGACCCGGCTGTTGGGTATCGAACTGTACACAAAGAGTAAAGTCTTACAGAATGATTCTATAATGGATAGAGCAAACGCCCAACAACAAAAAAAGGACTAGTTACCATGACCAACACCGATGGAACCAACGAGATATTCCATATGTTCTTGTTCGATCACATCACGAATCATTCCATTACTTTTACGTTGATACATTCTACCCTTATGTCCACACGTTACAATACCAGCAGCATCCTATCAAGACGGTACATATAAACGGATCATAAGCATTTTGCAACGAATGCGGAAGCGGATCTTACTATTTCTTGTGTAGATACTGCTGAAGAACGGACACTAGGAAGCGAACAGCCGATTGCGCATATAAATAAATATCACCTGGCCCCTATGCTGCAAAAGATGTAATGCTTCGAGAATTTCGTAACTAGCCGAAGCATTATTATCAGCGAGAAGCGTAGCTATTATTCCGCACATTTGTATTGAATGATATGTATAGAATGAAAAGACAAATGCGAAGACCAAAAACTACAGTCAAGTTTTCAGGGTCCAGTTTGTAGTTTTGCAAAAACCCCGAAGGCGCAATTTTTTTTTTCAAGTATTCCACATTTGGATAAGAGCGACCAATTCGATCAATGGGAGAAAAGACGTCAACACATGGGGGTCAGTTTCTCATCCATTACGCGCTTTGCACCAATAATAATAGTAAACATTATGATTATTAATCGTATTAATAGTATTATCATTATTCTATTTTAAAAATAAAATTAAAAATTATATGTCTTAAAAAATTTTTCCCTGCACACAATGGCAAAATTCCCACCCATCCTAAAAAATAATTTGTGCTCCCACCGCCTGCAGTAGTAACACAATTAGAGGAAATTTACTGCTAATGAATCCCTCAGATCTTTAGGCAAACCAGAGACTAGAATACGAGCCTGCTCTTTCAGCTTGTCTCTTTGCTTGGCTGTCAACAACGAATTGTTTGTTATATCAGCAGATCGTGTTGATATTTGTTGTCCAGCATCAGTTGTCTGCATTGGTGTTTTCTATTGCGAAAAATATAGTAAACGTCAGGAATGACCGAATATACATGCGTAACAAATTGTTGCAAGTGGAATGATACTGACCAGCTCGTCTTTGATACGAACCAATAAATCTATTAGCTCTACTTCATCCTTCCCAAACATCCATTTACATACATCATCTTCACACAATACTTGCAAGTATCTCCTGCGTAGTTCACTCTGTGCTTCGATTGTACGTTGATGCAGCCAGGTTGCAAAATTACCGCATTTTAGAAACTGTTGATAAAAATTTACGTATACCTCGGTCGAAGTTGCCGAAATCTTGGATTTAAACGGAATCTGGGATCCTTTTTGAAGATGAAGAAGAAGAATAAAGAAGTGATAATGAGAACAAGTTGATATGTTGATAACACGTAAAGGAAAAAGAAATCAGTACCATGATCTTGCAAAGACTTGAGGAAACAGTCAGTTCTAAATGGCTTCAGTTGAGGAGGCTCACGCGATGATGAGAGCGACCTTAATTTGTACGGTAAACAGTGTTATTTAAACTGAAGGAGAACAAATTTAAAAGAGAATGTTGAGGCCCATTCTGAGATTTGACTCTTTTCGGGATTGTCTAATTAGAATAATCTTTGACCCAATAAATTACACAACTTATGTGATAAATCGAAAAAACATGTGACAATCTTGAAACGAGTTGACCCATTCTCATAACGGGTCAAATCCCCGAATGGGTCTCAACAGGGGCACGGGATTTCCAACATACACGTTTACAGGAATTAATGTTGAAAAATAGCGATTCAATGGCACCAGAAATTTTTCAGTCAAATCAACAAAGTAACGCCTCAAGGTATTGTTCACAAGATAGTCTGCCATCAGATAGACGCGATTAGAAGCGTAATTAATCAACGATATCAAATTTTGGTTGTAGTATTACTCTACCTGGTGGATAACCTTTTGCTATAGCGGCTGCTGTTAGTTTCAAGACCGACTTATCTTTGGCAATCACCGGTTTACGCTTTGATTTTACTCCCTGGGTGTGGTACAAGAATAAATATAAATTTCAAAGATAACTCAATTAAATGCTAACAGATATGACCATTTTTATTACCTGTACAAAGTCCAGCGAAGATGGATTGTTGATGTACCTCCAGGACGTTTCTGTCGCGCGTCTGATAATAAATCATTTCGCTCTTACATCAATATTTTATTTAAAAAAAAAATAAACATTCATGTATACGAAAAGCTCTTACCTTAACTTTGGTTTACCAACTCTTATTATGTTGGGCCAATGCTGCATGGCTTTATTAAAAAATGGATTAGTTACTCCAAGTATTATATTTGATGGTGGCTATGATACAATAATGGGTATTAGCTGCAAGGTGAGCAAGTCAAACCATTTTCTTGAAAACATAATCTCAAGAGAAAAAAGACGCAAGACAAAGTGCCTACCTTGTTCTTTGTAACAAATGACTTGAAATCTGTATCATGTATTGTGAAATATGGACGATAGTCTCCACAGTACGGTATCTATTTGATTATAGTTAATTAGTAAATATTACGCTCGTACCCGAATCCGCTACTCTTTCCCAACCATTAAACCAACTCACCGGATTAATAAGATCAACCAGCTCAACAACAGCCTCGCTACATATCTTCGGATCAGGAGCCATTAACACCAAAGGTTCGGCAAGTACCATCAGCTCCCAACACAGCCACAAGTCTTTGATCATGTCTCGAAAATGAGAAAATAGAGTTTTCGGAGGCAGCGACGCAAGAATCTGCGTTTCTTGTCTGTAATTGGCCATATCGAACGGGCTGGTCTCGAGCAATTGAGGTTTATTTTTCTGTGGTATCTCAACTTGAAGAACGTTACCAAGAAATGGAAGTTCAAACGTTTTGCCTGGAGATGGAGGTTTCCTGTAATGTGTATGAAATCGTGAACATGGGTTTGCTAAATCCGATTTGAATAAATAAGATAAGAATAACAAACCAGCTGGCAACATTATGACAAGCTGCCTCAAGCATAGGCTTTCCCATTTCAAAGTACGCTGGACCCAATATTGACACGAGGTTTGAGAATAAACCAACATATGGATATGGCGATAAAAATACCAATGATTTCTAATGATTAATGTGACATGGAAAGTTAGTCCGAGTATTCTCATTCTTGAATGCCGTCGAAGCTGGTAGTTCGCTATATGATACGTAGTAAAAAGACTTCTAAACGACAAGATTCCAACCCCTATTTTTCAACATGCGCATACGTCTTTCCTTCCATAAATGATAGTTTGGTGACGGAACAGCATCGAAATTATACAAAATTACGGACATTATAATTATATCCAGCTATGACTAATCCACAAGTAAATCAGCCCATTGCTTCTGCGAACCTGAAAATATCCACGGCGTATAGTCGGGTCTCTCTTCTGTCTAAAGAATACGTATCCATATAAAAAACAAGTATCTGTTTCTGGACCTATGAACCATGCAATGTAAACAAAAGGTACCTCAAAACATTTTATCCCTTCCCCGCCTTATACACCCCTAATCAGGGAATATTCCTACATCATCGAATTCAATCCAGTACACTCTCCAACGGTGAACCGTTACGAACCTGAAGCAGCCGCTCTGTTCCGCAAGGATCTCATTCTAAAATTGTACACTGTATCTCCTTCGTCAAAACAATTCGAATCAGGAAACGCCAAAAAACAAACGTTCTTTTTCTCCTCCTCAGTCAGATCAGATGGTGGATATATTAGATCCATCGCTTGTCCCAACTCCAAGTCAAACTTGACTACACAGAAACTTAATATCCAATTACGAAAACTATCCAAAGCCAAAAGTTCGATATAATCCCAACTCGATCTTTTCCCTTTCTCTTTAGTTGCCTGCTCTTGAGCTTTCTCGGATTGGGTTGATGTGGTTGGGGGAAACGATGATCCGTCAAGTTGTTTAGGCGAAGTTGATAATAAAGATACTGATGTACTATCAGTGAATAGTTCATGGTCATCGTCACTGAATGGATTACGTGCAAATGTTGGTGTAAAATGTGCGTCAGTTATATTATTTTGTAACGAACGATGATCGGCCGTATCGGACGGTGCCTTTGCAGACTCTGATGATCTTATGCTCGACTTCATACTATTCAACCTATAAATTGCTGCATTCGCTAAAAAATTATTACTCTTATTAGCTAACACAGGCGGATAACGAGCTACTAAATTTGTTGTCGAGGCACTTTTACTTGATGCCCTTAGCGAAGATGATTTAGTTAGCGATGAAGATAGATATTGAGAATCCGGACTGTGTGGAGCGCTGAAAGAGGCTTGACGAGTTAATAGGTGGACTTTTGCTGATCGACTACTCCATGATGAATTCTCGGCTCCTTCTTGAAGTCCGACTGAAGATTTGTTGTTGGGAATTGGGTTACCAGTAATTGGAGACGTTACAGAAGAAAGTGACGATTCTTCTACGAGCGATTCCCGGGCAATGGATGAGGTCTGTGCCTTATTGGCAGAGATACTTTGACTCATCGATAAGGACGACTAATCATGTAACATAAATGAACTTAATAAAATTATATTCGCACGATTTAGCCAAGTTTTAACAGTTAAATGTAAAGGGAGGGTCGAGACGTTATTAATGAATTGTTGGTTCTCTCCCTATCAGATTTGTTTATTAAAATAGGTAATCGGTAGTGAGGGGCTTACTAAAATGGAATGATGATTTAGGTTGAAAACTTTTGGATCACTGGGACTTTTGCAACACACAGATTGGATGTTCGTCTATCGTACAACATCGGCCGAACTCCAATCGAAGAAATTGTATTTAGGGCATTAGGCACATTCTCATCCAAACAACTCTGATATCTTCAAGTATTGGTTGAACTCCCCCTACAAGACAAACATTTTTATAATAATATGCATAATTAATATTACTGTCACACTGTTTTTCGTTTCATTTCCAAATGAGGTTAGAGCGTTTCTCACATAATTTGAAAGTGGCGCGCGCACGAAGCAGGATATAGGGCAGACTGCAACAAAACCTGACAAAGTGAACATTCTATAAATGAGGGGCTGATTTTAAAATTGACCAGGGTGAATGATGACGTTTTGGAAAGTAATAATAATAATAATAAATGATGCTCATTCATGACTTATTTTATGGACTTGTTAATTTTAATGTTCACTTTAATGAGAATGGGATGAATATAAACCATAACAGGATTAATATAGGCCATTCGATGCTGATGCCCGTTTTGCGCGAAGATGCACGCCAGTTGGTTGTATTAAAGGACGATAAAGAGACTGTTTCAGGTTTATTTATTATGACTGCATCATGAACTTCTTTAATTTGGCGAATAATATCTTCGGAAGAGCAATTGAGACTGACCCTCTGTAATATTAAAGAGACGAGACACAAGTTGAAAGCATTAAGGACAGTACCAGTCAAAAGAAGACACTATGAGCAAACTATGTTACTATTACTATATGTCCCCAACGCCCGAGTCACAAAGTCGTTACCTGCAGAACCTTGTTGGAGGCGGAGCTTCTCTACTTCCAACTTTTGCTGCTCGAGCTCAAATAGACGATTAAGGTCTTCTTGAGTTTGTGAAGTTTCTTGAAGTCTTCCATGCTAGAGACGCGATGTGATCTAATATACTACTGTACTAGTGCTAACGTCGATCAGTGACTTAATCAAAGGAACTTTCTAGACCTTTTCACAATGTATTGTTCTCCTGCATATGTGGCCAATGATAAACGAGTATTAATACGGGCAGACAAAGTGAACATTCTATAAATGAGGGGCTGATTGTGATGTTAATGTGGCTGTAAAATTGACCAGTGTGACTGATGACACTTTGAAAAGTAATAATTATACTCTTCATAACTTATGGACTTGTTAATTTTAATGCTCACTTTATTATACCAGAATGTCATGAATATAAACCATAACAGGATTAATATAGGATTATCCCTATATAAAAAATATTAATATGAAACTAATTTACATCAAATCCACCATGGAGCCCAAGAAGTACTAGTACAGCACTATTACTATTAGAAGCATTCTAAAAAAAAGAACAAGGAGAGAAAATTGCGCCTTATGTTTTTAAAATCAATAATACCCAAACTCTCCAGGAATATCTAGATCAAGAAAAAACTACTTACGAAATTTATCAAGAGGAACGGAAAATTATAACTACTAAACGAACATTAACACCAACACATGAACCAAGAAAAAAAAACGAAAACTTGAAGAAAGCAGTTTAACGTAAGAGGCCTCAGATAACTGCTAAAATGTAGCTATAATAATATACAGTATATGGGGCATGCTGCAACAAAACCAGACAAAGTGAACATTCTATAAATGAGAGGCTGATTATGATGTGGCTGTAAA